GAGAGTTATGCGTGGTGACGCGTTTTAATTTGACTGCCCCTTATAGTTACTCGTAGGTTGAATATAGTACAGCAGAACGATGATTCTCTCTCTCTCTCTCTCTATATATATATATATATAATTGAGGAGCTATTTGAATGGAGAAGTAGCGACTCCGGTTTAGAAAACCGAAATTAACGACCGTGGGGATTCGTTGCCTTGACCACGCGACGCCCTCTATCCGTTAATGTTGGCACTAACTTTGCCGAAAAGGGACGGTCGCTCGGTCGGTATAGTTCGCTCGCGGATTAAAGCCACTGAGTTTTTTATTTTTGTTTTTGCATGGGTCTACAACCCTTTGTTGCTCCTTGGCCACTTTCTCAATATCTTAATCCTGTATACAATCGGTAGGATTGCTTGGATGGGGGATCAGACCGTCGCAAGGTCGCTACGTACACACAGAACAACACAAACAGAATAAACCCACACAAACATCCATGCCTCGAGTGGGATTCGAGCCACGATCCAAGTGTTAGAGTGGCGAAGACGGCCCTAAGGGCCCCCATACACACACAGTATGGCCTTCAGTTCGGCCTGCACAGTTGAAGACTGAAAGGCAAAAGTGATGTGTGTGGTGCAGCCGGCCGGGCAATCGTTTGGACTGTTGGCCTGTGGGAAACCCGTCAGTCCGTCAGTTCTACCTGCAGGACCGTAGCACGTGACGTGTGTGACTCAGCATTATAGGCTGGAAGACCGTGATTGTGGCATGAAGCCTGCCGCTTTATCTGTGCGTGTATGGGGAAGAAAGGGAGAGGGTAAACTGTCACAGTTTTGCCTGTAAGGTCGATCGGAAGGCCAAATTGTGTGTGTATGGGGGGCCTTAGACCTGGCGGCCACTGTGATTGCCAGAACGGCGATCATCCGAATTAATTAGGGACAATTGTAGCTCGGATAATAGACAATTCGGATAACTGGATTAAATTCTTATCCACGAAATCACTATTATAACACTGTTATATTGTACTGTATTATTTTTATATTACAAAGCTTTTATACAGGTGAAATATGATAAAATTATAAATGTAATTAAATTATATATTAGCATTTTCAAACATTTTATTTGTTTCCCGGCTGATAAGTCTCGCAAACATTTCAGCGCGAGAAGCCGAGCAACACTGCATTCTAATTGCCTTTCCTACTTCATGGATATTTCAAGATAGTTGAAGGCTTCACTATGAGAGGGAGTGGATTCATCATTTTCTTCAGCATTTTGTTTGTTAGTAGACGGTTATTCCCTTCGTATTACCAGCTCTGCTACACTGTGTCGAGATTGAAAGTTACGTAACCATCCACTGCTAGTGCCTCGTAACACTTTATTAAACATTAGAGCTTTCTCACATAAAATAGGTCTTGGAAGTGGCTGTCTAGCTGTTCTTTTGTATCAATCATTTGTACATTGAACTGACTCACTGTCAGGAATTATGGCCGCCCTGACACAATACACTCTGACTATTTGCCCCCCATGATTGACTTTTCTCAACAAATTAATTATATCCACTTTGTCCACCTTTATCACATCAATGCGTTTTTTACTTGATATTTTAAAATTTTTAGCGTCCATAAATAATAGGATGACCGCCTTTGTGGTCTAGTGGTCAGAGTTCTTGGCTACAAATTCAGAGGTCCCGGGTTCGATTCTCAGCGCTACCAGATTTTCTGAGAAGTAGTGGGTCTGAAACGGAGTCCACTCAGCCTCGTGAGGATAAATCAGTTATTTCAAGGAAATAGCGGCTCCGGTCTAGAGAACTGAAATGAGCGACCGTGGGGTTTCGTTGCTGTTTGTATAAATAATAGGATGAGTTTGACAGTCAAACAGAACATGACAATAAACACTGACGCGTAATAACGACGGGGGATTGGTCTGACTCCGCGAGTGGAGACACGAGGTCATTCCCTGAATTGGCAATTCGAATGATCGGGGTTCTGCTGTAGCTATTTTCAGAAGTAATATGGCTGTCAGTAACTGATGAACAAGTGTCAGAATCACTTCTCTTTAGCGTGATTAGTATAATGAGTTCTGGCACGTGATGTATGGTTCAGGTCTAGAAGATGGGAAACATGTGAATATTAAGATTACGATTTCATTTTGGGGAAGTGGCGCCGTCCTGTCACTTCCGAAATTCCTGACAGTAACATCCTACATTTGGTTGAGCTCCACAAGTTCATCGTTGCGATAATCGTGTTTTCGTGTTGATATACGGGTATTACTTGCCAGTTTACAGTTCTTCGCAAGTTCTCCAAATCATACGCAAATATTATAACCGGTCTTCTCAGTTTCTCCTCATCTGTAACAGATGCCTGGTTCCAAGGTTGCACCACCTCTTTTCGTTCATTTGCTGTCCTTCTAGTTTGGGAGGTAACAATCACTGCACGTAGTTAACTGACTGGTTAGGTTGATTCGAGGTGAGTGGGTAGCTCACTGAGATATCGCATGAGATCAGGGTGTATTATTATTGATTATTATTATTAGAGGGGGTTGGTTTCCCCATGCACTTAGACCAGTTATTGGTCCATTGTGCGTCCCCCTTTAATTTCTACTGTCCCCATACCCTACCGGTACTGGTGCGTGCTATCAGCCTCGTTCAGCCAACGAGGTCGCCCGTCGGTACCTGATATTTCCCCCATCTACCAGAGGCGTTGGAAACTACTTGGGCGGGAAATTGTTGCCTAATTAATTTTGCTCAGAGGTCTCCTAGAGACATGAGGATCTTTTACGTGCCGTAAATCTACGACACGGGACCCACGGCTTAAAGTCCCTCCCGGAGGATTTGTTCTCTGAATTTTTCCGCCCTTAAAAATTCCATGACCTCCGCCGGGTTTGAACCCGCGTACCTTGAAACATGAGGTGGGAACGTTACCCCTAGACTACGGAGGCCGCTAGATCAGGGTGTAACTGTGGGAACATGAGATCAGGGTGTAACTGTGGGAGCATGTGATCAGGGTGTAAATGTGGGAGCATGTGATCACGATGTAACTGTGGGAGCATGAGATCAGGGTGTAACTGTGGGAACATGGGATCAGGGTGTAACTGTGGGAGCATGTGATCAGGGTGTAACTGTGGGAGCATGGGATC